AATTAATAAAATCATGTATGTCTGTCGAAGCCATCCGGGATTGTTCTAGCTCATCATCAACAAATATCAATTTCGGTCGCCAAAGATATTCAAATATCACTCCCAGAAGAAAATAATGTCACAAATATCAGAGAGGAGTAAAGTCTTTAACAACAGTTGAATTAGCTAAAGGTTTTGCCAAACTACTATCCAATACTATTAATTGACGAAGTACAAGATAACTTTCCACATCCACACCTCTTAATAAATAAGATCTCATCAAAGATTTCAATTCCACAGAGTTAACATCAGAAACTTTTCCTGGTATTGACAATAATTCACGTAATGAAAAATCTACACTTTCTTATCATAATAAGTAGTTTTCTCTTTTTCACTGACATATTGAACATAAATGCTGGAAGATTTGATAATCAATGTAGTTAAATGTTTCATTTGATGAATTTCCTTCTTGTTAAAGTAATTTAGATTTAGAGAATAAAACATTCAAAACGAAGGAGCAAGTGTTAATATGTTCAATTGTCTTTTCCAATGTTTTATCTTCCAAACTGGTGATCCATCTTAAACCAATTGTAGAAATTACCTTTGAAAATCTACAAACTACAGCATATAATAGTAACAACTGTTCATACAATAAGAAATCTCTAAACAATTCTACAACTTGACCTGTTTTTTGAATTTCATTCACTAATTGTTCAATATTCTGTTTAAAGTCTTTAACAACATTTACAGAAGTAAATTGTAAAGTAATAATTCTATTAAGCATATCATCAATAAAGGCTACGAAAGAATCAGAGTTTCTCCATTCTGTATTAATATTATCAGCTTTGGTTGAATCTTTTCCATCATCTTGTGATGAATCTTTGATACCAATAAGAACAGACCCATTAAAGAATGTGTTGTCATAAACACTTGTACATGGAGCTAATTTTTCAGACAAATCACTTAATTCTCTCTTTTCATTGTACATTACAACATTAGATTCATCAAATGCAATATTTTTCAAATCAATAATAATAGCTCTATTACAGCTCATTAAATTATATCCAATAAACTCCTAAAACCAATCCTAAACCCCTCTGCACTTCCAGATGCCAATAGCACAGATATATATATTATATTACCATGTTTGGGTTATTGAGGTAATGAGTTTATGTTTGAAAGAGAAATTGATTAATGGTAAGATAATTTTCATCAAATGTTGAAGTGAAGGTCAAACATCACTTTTAATGCTAAAATGTCAAAAATGATATGGATATTGATAGAATGACAACATATTTTCCTTACAGAAGATGATATTCAATAGAATTATATTGTTATCTTTGCAATGAATTGTTTGGGTTGTAAAAACTAGAAACAACATAGTTAGTTTCCTTGTAAAACTTCCATTCTTGATTCTATTATGTTGTGGTATGACATGATTCCTTCTTCAGTACCACGTATGCTTTGCATGAGATGAACAAATATCATCACGCAACTCGAATAAATAAGTCATTTTTGGTTTAAATTGATAATCATAGGAAGACAACTTTCTAATATTAAACGATCATTATGCTCGTCACAAAACTGGCATTCCAATAGTGAAGTCAGATTATGCAACCGAGAAGTATTTATCGAAAATGTAATATTTTATTGTTTCTTGTTTAATACTTTTTGGTTCAAACGAAACATCTTTTCCAATACGAAATCAAAAATTCCAAATCCACCAACCTGCATACAACAAAGATAAAATCACTATGCCACAAAGTGCCTGAGCATGTAATTTTGGGAAAACTTCTTCACCAGTTGTCATTTTTTTATGATGAATGCCAATTTAAATATTAAATATATTAAAAAGATATTTTTAAACAATACACTCATTCTGTTAAAGTTCAATTTCTATTGACGTGTACGAACCATACGTACTTTCCTTTAAGGGTTCCTATTTTATACTTTAGATGACTTTATACACTTTGAAAATTCAGTAGGGTTTATTGAGCGATCTAAGGATTTTGAATATATATATTATATTACCATGTTTAGAACATTAAGAATATAAAATGTAGATAAATATATTATCATCATATTGACCAAGTTTCGGATATTGAAAATGTATGCTTAATGAGATATTAATTAAATATTAATTATTTGATGATGATTAATTGGGACTGACAGGTCCTAATATAGTATCTATGACGAGTTTAAGTCCTCGCTTGATTTCCGCCGTGGCCAAAAAAAATTAAAAATAGACTTTGAAAATTCAGTAGGGTTCATTGAGCAATCTAAGGATTTTCGATATATATATTATATTACCATGTTTGGGTTATTGAGGTAACTACCAAAGAAATAACATTGTATAATTATATATCGTAAAACGATCCATCCCTTCTAACGGTACGACCACCATATAGTAGACCTATGGTTTTCCCAACCCGCCAACAGCTTTTGAATCTGCCGCCATCAAAAACCGTTACATCCATAAACGATTTGATGAGAAAAAAAACTCATCACACCAGCACTCATCATCTTTTATTGTTTGACTGCACCATGTAATGGCACTCCATCCTTCAGATGTAGTTCTTATCATTCTTTTGCCAGTTTCTTGGTCAAGGTGTTCCTACTAATGTTTTATTGCTTTCGTTCCTTTTGGTTTTTTTCAACAACCAACCAAGAGGGTAAAGCTTCATGTTTGAAGTAGATACACCCCTTACATTTACATCCAGTGATGAATTTGGTGGTTTTTGTGGTTTGGAAGCACACTTCGGGTGGTAAATCTTCTATTTACTTCTCCTCCACAGTTTTTTACCAACAACTAAAACTACCCAAAATAAAATGTTTTTCTCTCGATATTACTTCAACTTTTCTTGCCTATCATTCTTGAAAGATGCTGTTCCGAGAGCAACAACCAGTATGTTGTTCTTCCCTGTCAAGTTTCAAGCGGAACGACATCGAAAAATTCACCAACCCATTCCTGCTTTATAAAACTGAAATTAATTTGGAAAATAAATAATTTTCTTTTCTGTTTTTTTTAATTCTATAGCACAGAATAATCTTCACTTCTCAGAACAAGATGAATTTTTGAAGTCAAGCTATATTATTCTAACAAGAACAAGTGATTGTACAAAGTTGTAAGCTCATTACGTTTCAGTTACTATTTTAAGAGTTTGAAATTTGACATTTTCACTTCAGTTCATTAAAAAAAATTGTCACCCACTACCTACTCACAACCATGTCCATCACCACTAACAGCAGCAGCACTACTTCATTCACAACCATCATCACATCAATTTTATTTCTAATAATATTATTAATTCAACCAATTTATTCAATTGAATGTTACATGACACTATCTGATACAGTAATAATAACACAAATAACCAATTCAACAGATGGTACAGAATTAGTATGTATTAGATATTCATTTAAATGTACAAGTGGTGATACATATTGTAATGCAATGGAAGTAGCTAAAGGTACATATAAAATAGCCTATTCAGTTACATCCTATGAT